CTACTTCTTCGATTGTGAATTTATGATGCTAAGAGAGAAACTTGACGTCAAGCATCGTAAATTCACGTATCTCCACTGCTGTGATCCCCTTCCTTATTCCAATTTCTACCTACAAGTAGAGGTTCAGCTCCTTCCCAGTCATTACACTTCAGTCCCCTTCGCTCTTCCATTGCCCATGTAAACCAGCTTCTCCGATGCTTCTCTCCACCTCTACCCCTGCCTCACCGTTCAAACTGAGGTTCCGATTCAAAGCCGTTGATAATCCGAGAGGCAAACTGTGATAATCGCAACTTGCACCCTGACCCAGCTGAGCCGAACTTTAGTAGTTCCAGGGCTATAACACTTAGTGATCCTGCATGTGTCTGTGTGTATGTGTGTGTGTATGTGTATGTATGTGTATGTACGTGTATGTTTGTACGTGTATCTATATGTGCATACATTAGGGTATGCTTTGCGCTGTCGCAGGTAATATTGTTATAAACTAATTAAGCAACAAGGGTTATGCATGTGTACGTGTGTATGTGATATATATGTCTGTAGAGGTTTGTTTGTGAATATGGTTGTATTTTAGCCGCTGCGGGTAATATCGTTATAGGCTAATTAGGCAAGAAGGAAGCGAGCATGTGTGTGTGTGTCTGTGTGCGTGCGTGTGTGTGTGCGTGTGTCTGTGTGCATGTCGGCAATAGCGGTGGCGCCATTTATAGCAGTGGTGTTTTATTTTTCAGCTTACACAGTTTTCGTTGCTTTCTTGCGCCAGAATATGGCGCATTTCCGGTACATAGCTCACCCCTCTGATTTCTTATGCCTTTTGCCGTTTCCTCACATGCCCGCCGTTCTGCCTGCTTCTGTTTTTAACATTTCGTGATTCAGTTTTCTTTGAGTCCCCAGCTTTGCGTGCATTTTGCCGGAAATTCTCGGGTACTTCGGGAAATTTTGCTGTCTCATAGAATTCCTTGTCATTCTCCTTCGCTGCAATTCTCTGTGTTTCGTTCGTGTCAGCTCCATTCTTTTTGCAATTCTTTCCCTCATGAAACACTTCTTTCGCTTCTCTTAATGCATGAAAGCGGCGGGGGG